GGGGGGGTGGGTTATGCAATAAGTCAGCACGAGGCAGAAGCCCTCCCCAGGGAAGGAGGGAGGGAAGGCAGACCTGCCACCCAGTTAGAAATTAGCAGGGTCATAGCACACAGGGAGCCTACGGAACCACCACAGGCCTTCCCTTCAGCTGGTGTGGCACCCCCCCAGCATCCCTGAGGGGTCATAGCTTGGGCAGTGCCGGTTGTCAACATTTTGGCCATCAAGGGAACACCCGTGAGGGTCTTCTGCTGGGAGGGAGGGAGCTATCACACTATGAGGATTAGCAGGAAACCACATCAAGACCGTCCTTCATTCCCACAGGATGTGTTTTCAAAAGCCTGCTTTAATCCATTCGGTGAAATATAATTTAGCCACCAGAATGAGACTACAACTTATTAACATTCTATGTATGAGGATATACCAATCCAGATAAATAAGTGGCATATGTATTAATACGGAAAAAAGTTCATAGCAGATGTTAAATTTAAAACACAGATTTCAAAACTGTGTGTATAACACAATCCCATTTCTGTTTCACAGATTGGTCTGGAAGGCCACAGGCCAAAACGTTGCCAGTAGTTCTTTCCGGGTGGTGATGTTATAGGGATTTCAATTGTCCTCCATCAGCCGATCTGTATTTTCTGGTGTGTTCACAGTCAACATGAAATCATTAGTAAAAAAAACCAAAGAAATAGAAAATGAAAGTTAATCTCAATTCCCACTCCTCGCCCCTCCCCCAGAATACCCCCAAAAAGAGACATACAAATAACAAAGGAAAAATATTCTAAGCATTGATTTTAAATGCCTTAGGGGATGGCAAACTTCCCTTTGTAGAAATGGTTCCATTAGTGGGCACAAGTTCTAGGGAAGGAGAATTTGGCTCAGCCTAAAGAAAAACTTTCAAACAGTGAAAATGGTGGTGGGGGCATGGTGTGGGTGGCGTGGTGTGTGTGTGTGTGTGTGAGAGAGAGAGAGAGAGAGAGCATGAGCAGCAGGTGAGGCGGGGCGTTGATGGGGCAGAGGGGAGATGGCAGAGAACATCTGCACACTGGGGAGGGACAGGACTCTCATCCTGTGCAATCCTGAGAGGCTTGGATCCCAGGGTCTAGTCAGAAACAGCCTGGAAAGCTGCTGAGCTCAGCTGTTGCTAGGGAGAACCACAAGAAGCTCAGAGGACTTGCAGGATGTAGATGCAATCACCTGAATGAGGAAGGGCAGGAGTGAAGTCTTCCCAGAGAAAACCCACAGACACAGAGGCTATCTAAGGGAGAGAAAGCCAGGGATGGAGGAAAGCTATATACAAGCATTTACCTTTTGATGGCGTCCTGCCTCTCTCTCCCTTCTTAACGTTAGTCTCCTTCTCCTTCCCCCTTCCCTCATCCTTACATTCTCCAGATGGATGGAATATGCAGGGAGGCCTGAGCACCAATCCTCCAGCTGATCTTAAACCTCAAAAGACAAGCTCTAAGGTCATCCTTTAGTTAGCTCTAACAGCCTGTGATGAGGGGAGACAACTGACGAAGAGGGAAGGCTCCCAGAAGACATTTCTACACAAAAATGCCCACAAATCCCAGAACCTGAAAGGTTCAGATTTTGAGTGAAGCAGACAGATCTTAGAAAGATCTAGGAATGAGACCTAGGATTCAATTGGATTGTGGTTGATAATAGTTAAATCTGAGAGAAAAATCTACCGAAGCTCATCTTCAACTCAGCAACTGTCTATTGAGGGAATAATATAAATGACGCACCTTTCTCAACTCTGAACTGCCTCTTTGTCTCTTGCTCATCCATACGCATTTGTGTCCCCATCTCCCAAGGCTCTGCTCTTTCTTTTCCCCTTTAGTCACAACAGCAGTGGTTAAGTTTTTGGGGGGTTTTTTTCAGACTTATTTCATTTATTTGAGAGAGAGGAAGAGTGAGCACATGTGCAAGAAGGGGAGGGGCAGAGGGAGAGAGAGGATCTCAAGCAGACTTCCCACTGAATGCAGAGCTCGACTCGGGGCTCGATCCCAGGACCCTGAGATCATGACCTGAGCCAAAATCAAGAGAGGAGTCAGACACTTCACGGACTGAGCCATCCAGGCACCCCAGCAGTGGTGGTTTAATGGCAAAATGTATGGGCTGTCCTTCCAGAAGAGCACACACATGCGCATACATCCTTCTACATACAATTTCAGGGGGTTCAGTGTCCACTGAAAATCCATACGTGAGCCCTGAGGGATCTCACCCTCTCCCATAGCATTGACCCCCACGTGTAGCCAGCCAGCTGCTAAATCTCTCCCTGGGATCAACCCAGATTGTCTCTTTTCCCAAACCTTGTCAAGTTGACCTCTCATATTCTTAAATCCACCCATTTTTCTCCACCAGCCCTGCCCTGGTTGAGACCCTCCTTTTCACCAGCACTATTGAAATCACTTCCAAACTGCTTTTCCAGCCCCCAGTCTTACCTTATTCCAGAGTGATCTTCTTTAAAAAAAATAATAAATGTGATCCGCTTAAGAACTTCCAGTGGATCCCAGGACTATAGGATAAAGTTCCCTGGGCTGTTCCTATGTGGTCCAGCAGCTGACTACCCGCTCAGTTATCTCCCATGCATTTGCCCTAGGGCGGCGACCACTCTCTTCTGTGCCTTTTAAAATAATACGTCTACTCTGTGACAGGTGTTGGCTTACATATTTGTCTCCTTGACTACTCTGTTTCTTTAGAGAAGAAATCTTTACTTATTCACTCTTATATTTCTGTGTCTAATCTAGTAGTTAATAAATGCTTATTGAATTAATTAAACAAATTAAACAAAAACAAGCAAAATACACCCTCTACTTTAAGGAACTTACAAATTAAAAGGGGGAAACAGGTCACGAATGCTAGGAACTATCGTGCAAGGCAGAAAGGGGCAAGTGCTAGGAGAGATTATTTTGAAATAAGTGCCGTGGGGACGTAGGAAGATTACTTCTTAATGAGGGGGCTGGGAATCCCTCCGGATCGCAATGGGGCTTGTTTAGGGTGATGATGTGATGCGTGCTTTTCCTCTCAGTTTCCCCCCGCTTTCACGTGTTGTTGTGCGGCCCTCCCGTCATTGTGAAGTTCCACAGGACAAAGTCTGGGTGCATTTCTGAGACGGCAGGTGGGGCCTCAGTGCTGACTAAGACGGACTCTCACCTGTCTGACCCAGCCTTGTCCTTTGGAAGGGGAAGGGAGCTCTACGTGGTGGCGGTTCCGATTCTGGGCCTTAGGAGTCTTAGGGCCAGGATAGGAACGGCAAACCCTTTAGACGGACCTGGCCCACCGAGGCAACACAGCAAAGCCTCTCTCTGCTGTCTTTGCAACAGCAAAGGGCCTGAGCCCCAGGCCCGTCTTGGAGGGGTCTGACATTTTGACTTCCTTCAGCTTGCTAGAAGTCTCTAGTGTCCTGGACACAGGCTCGTGCACGGCAGGATTCTGGACTGCGGGGGCACTGGTAGGGCAGGAACAATCTGGAACAGCAGTGGTTACTGAGAAACCTCTACAGGGAGTACTGCAAAGATGGGGATTATACACCCTCTGGGGCTCAGAGCCCCAACCTGGAGGAATGGGAGCTCTGGGTCCAGGGCAGCCAGGGGCCCCAGGAGGTGTGGGGGGGGGGAGTGTCACGGGGGCGGGGGGCACGGTATGTGAAGAAAGCACTCCCACCCCCGCCCAGCAGAACCCGGCAGGAAGCTGCCAGCATCCCGGCCTCCTAGGGGACTCTGTGGGCTCCAAATGGCACCGCAGAGAACTTTCGGAGAAGGGCTGGAGGGTGGCGGGGGCTGCCGCTGCACGGCCCACCCGCACACCCGGCTGAATGCGACTTGGGAATCTCACACTGAGCTTATTCAGAGCCTGTACAATGGGGAGCAGAGCTGTGTGTCAAAGCCGATGCCGGGGGGTGCAGCTCCAGGTAAACAAGGGAGGGGGCAGAAGGCGGTCAGGGCAATGCTTTAAATCAGACATTTAGCAGGGGGCCCCCCACCCCGTTTCTTAACACAAAGTGAGCACTTTGAATAATTCGTCAACTCTTTCTGTCTCCCTCCCAGGGATCCAGATCTTTAGAACCTGATGGAGGGGGAAATTCTGAGGATTTTGTTGGGCTGGCTCATTACCAGGTAGACACAGTCAGTGTTACTTCGTAGCTAAAATTCACCTGCTCGGCCAGCTGGCCAGGGAGGAGGTCACATGTGAGGGTGAATGCTGACCGTGCTCCGCGCCTGGCCTCTGGGGACCTTCGGCTACCTCCCGGGCAGGCGATGGAACACAGTGGAAATCGCATCTGCCCGAGGAACGGGACACCTGCGTTTCCGTCTGCCCGTCCTTCTGGGCTCTGTGAACTGGAGCCAGTCACCCAATCTCCCAGCTTAGAAAGGAGAAACGGGGATGCCTACTCTCTCCCCCTTCCCGGCAGTGTCTGTAAGCGCAGGTAAATGACTTGACGTGTTTCTTGCTCCTTAAGGAGTGGCCCGCATGCTCTTAACAGGTTCTACAATCAGCTGTCTTAACAACAAGGATGTGGTTAGAGAAAGCCACTCTCCTGTTTCAGATCCAGCCTGTCTTCTCCCATCCCTGCTAAAGCAACTGACTTCACAGCAATGATGACAGAATAGCTAGGTTCTGCCCCAGCCGCCCCGGGCACGCGTTCTCAGGACGGTCAGGCCAGCCCACCCTGCTGGTCAGCCCGTTGAGATCGCGCTTCCAGCTGCGACGACCGTGGGGTTTTATCTCTGGATAATACCTAATTCACTGTAGGGTGTTATGCACGTAATAAATGATTGGTGTATGAATTTAGTTGCCAGATTTTTAGAGCTAAAATAATAATAATAATAGTAAATTACTGTGTGTGCCAAGCACGGTCCTGAGCACCTGGACGCTTTGTCTCACTTAGTTCTTACAGCCCCGGGGGGCACGTGCTACCATTTACTCTCTAGTTGTAAAGATGAAGAAACAGACTCAGACAAATTCAGTAACTTTCTCTCTGTCACCAGATCGGACGTGGCAGAGCTAGGACTCAGGTCCAGGGGTTTTGACTCCAGAAATTAGATCTGGGACTACATACTAGCGACTGCCTCCTATTATCGGCTCCTCGAACGCGATACGCTCCTGTTATTGACATGGAACCTGAGGCCAGGAAAGTACTTTGCCAGGGTCTCCCGGTGAAGAGCAGAGCTGGTGGATCTGGTCCCCTTCTCTCGGCCCCCTGTCCTGGGGTGCAGGCATGCACCGCCAGCCCGTGTCCAAATTCCAGGCTTGCCTCCAAGAGAAGCTGCACGCGGCAGCTCTAGGTCAGCCAGTGGCCTCGGCACCTTCGTTTCTGTGGCCCAGGCGGAACCACGGCCAGACAGCGACATTTGTTCCTGCTGTGCCAGGGAGCTGAGGAGGCGGGGGCGGCTTGATTTTCGAGTGTCCCAACCCCTGCAGCCCAGCAGCGGCTCCCTCCCGCCAGGGCCTCTGTGGAGGTCAAGGGCGGGCCCAGGAGACCTGGCCCAGGTCCTGCCCGCATCCCGGTGGGCACGACTGACGCGGCCGGCCCCATGTGTGTCACGAAGCCAGCGACAGCAGCCCTGCACACCTTGCCCTAGCCGGCACAATGCCAATCCAACAAAGCAAAAGGGCAGTGCCAGGAGCAGTGTTAGAGATGCCATCTGGCTTAACTGGTGGTTTCTTTCTTCTGTTTTGCAAAGTGTGTGCAGAGGGAGGGCGGGGGAGGAGGCGAAGAAGACCATGAAACCAAGAGCTGAGTTGGACTCAAAAGAAGCCGAAGGAGGGGCGCCTGGGTGGCTCAGTTGCTTAAGCGACTGCCTTCGGCTCAGGTCATGATCCTGGAGTCCC